TGCTGGCCAACCAGGTCTTCACCCGGGTTCACAAAAGTCTATTGAACGTTGTAGGGCTTAGCTTGCAGCTTCATTGCTGTTTTTCCCTCACTTTCCCTTATCGGTGTCGAGCGTGGTCACCAATCAGAGCGTGTATTCCCATTGAGTCTTAGTCTTGGAAGGGGGTTTTGTGCAATTATTTTTTAAAGAAAATAATTGATATTTTTGTTGAGAATGTACAAAGCATACACCAAATCATTTCAGTTTGTAAATGTACAGTTAGTTCGGTGATACTGATGAATTTCGAGTTGTGGAGCCTTTCCTACCCTCCTTTCTGAGATGTTCCTATTCCGTTAGCATACGCTCACTGCCCTCTAAGGTTCCTAGCTATTCCTTCAAATTGCTGTTCTCAACTTGATAAGATAGATCTTTAAAAAGTGTAATTCTTAAGGCAAATGTTCTTTATTAGTTAAACTAAACTGTTTGGTTTTAAGAAGAGTTCAGGGGATATTTTTGTTGGAGATTTAAAGATTTTTCTAGTGAAATAGTTTTGGGGATTACTGGCTCTAGAAAATCTGGATTCCCTAAGAATTTAAAATTCTGTTCTGTATTTCCTTCCCTTTGATCAGGTTTGTCTCTAGAATGTTGGATCGAAATGTTCAGTGATAGTATTTGGGAACCACCCACTTCTGATCTCATGGCAAAGGAGACAGTTGTTTATGGAAGCAATTAACCACACATTCCATAGTCTTTCCCTATTCCTGACCCTCCTTCCTCTATTGCTCCAGGCAAATAGAGACCCATTGTGCTTTGGATAGCTGCTTGCAAGCTTTTAAGACATCAGGAACTATGTAGTGAACTAGGAGATAGAACAGATACATGAAAAATTAGCACAGATGTCACATGAAACCATGACCCTACAGTTCCAAACCAAGGAACTAGATCCCATGAGATACTTGGTTATACATAAGCAATCTCAGCTGGAGTCCTGGTGTGGCATGGTGGGAAAAGTAAGGTTGGTGGTTTAAACTCCCCAGCCACTGCTTGAAACCCTATACAGAATCACTATGAGTGGGAACCAACTTGAAGTTACTTAATAACAACAAAAAACCTCAGCAGCTACCTTTTTTTTTTCCCCTTCTTTTTTTCATCTTAAATATGATAGCGTGGATCTACTGACCTAAATAAAGTGGAGTTGGTTTAGTTATTAAGTCTGAAGTGTTGTTAAGTGCCGTGGAGTCGATTCCGACCCATAACAACCCTATACAGGGTTTCCAAGACTGTAAATCTTGACGGAAACAGAAAGCCTCATTTTACTCCCGCAGAGCGGCTGGTAGTTTCGAGCTGCTGACCTTAAGGTTCGCAGCCCGATTCATAGCCACTACACTGCCAGAGCTCCTTGAGTTTCAAGTAAGGAGCCTGCAAATGAGAAGTTTATACATGGGTTGGGATGACCTTGTGGTCCTAGAAGGAGGACAGGACAGGGAGAATAGGACATGCTTAAACCCACCCAGATAGTTATCTCAGGAATTAAGCAGAGACCTAAAGGTTTAAATGTTTGAGAAGGATCATTTGACTGTTCCTCTTCCCCCACCCCAAGATGGAATGTTTGACAAGGACATTAACTGATTGTTCCTTCCCCCCCCCACCCCCACCAAAGATGAAATGTTTGAGAAGGACATTGCCTGATTGTTTCTTTTTCCCAGAAAGATGTTAGCTTGATGTTAAAATAGAATAGTTACATTCAAATGTAACTTGCCCTTTATAATATGTCCACTCTTCATAATGGACAGGATGATCTTGAGAGATTATTCTTTCCATCCTCCAGAAAGCTGGCTTTCTACTAATAAAGCTTGGATTGGATCTCACGCCGTCTCTGATTGACTACAGCAACAGGCAGCAAACCCTTGTTTCAGTTTGGTAACATATACTTACCATGTATAAGTTTTGCCAGTTCAGCTTTTGGGGGGACACAGTTCAACTCATCACAGTCTCGGTTGAACTTTGCTATAACCCGATTGGTAGACCAGTCTATATTCACATACCCCAGTTGTCATAGTTGTTCCAGAACATTCTTTCATAGTCAAGGCCTAGGCATTTTATTTGCTTTTTTTATACTTTTTACCTAGAACATCTTCACATGACTTTAGCTTTGGGAAATACTACTCTGTAAAACGTTAACTCGTGCCACCCCTGCTTCATAAATCAACT